TCAACTACCTCATATTGATGGATAAGCGTCCTACTGATGCATAATTATGCATTCATAAGGATGTGATCCATAAACAGAGATCAATCTTGATAACAAAGCCACTTTAAATTCTTATGAATGTTGAATACTTATGAATGTTGAATGCATAAATTCAATGTTGATAACAAAGTGAATGCATTCATCTGATTAAAGAGTTCAATCTGTTTTGTCAAATACTTATGAATTTAAAGTGGCTTCCTTTAAATTCAATCTTCATAGCAAAGTGAATGCATTCATCTGTTTAAAAAGTTCAATCCATTTTGTCAAATACTTATGAATGTTCAACTCTTTAAATTCTTCATAGATTCTTAAATACTTAAACCAAAGTGGCTTCCTATTATCATACAAAAACAATCTGTTTAATGACAAAATAATTCAATTTGTTTTTTGCTTAAACCAATGTTTAACTCCCTAACAATCTGTTTAAAGAGTTCAATGAACAGGAAAAATGATAGAGTTCAAACAAAACCCCAAATAGATTCAAAGGTAATGTTACTTATGAATCTGTTAGTTGGAATGATCTTTCAAAGGTATCTATCTCAAACAGATGATAAAGTTTGATAACTATGAATAATTAGAATGATCTATCTATCAAACAGATGATAAAGAGATGGATACTTAGAATGATATCCTCTGTAACCATTCTCATGAATCTGTTACTTAGAATGATCTATCAAACAGATGATAAAGTTGGATAAAGAGATGGATACTTAGAATGATCTATCAAACAAATGATAGAGTTGGATAGTTATTCAAGCACAACCAAATTAAAGCCAAAACCAATTAAAGCAAATCTGAAAAGAGAGGCTAACAGATTCGTGAGAATGGACATAGAGGATAACCGATCAATATATTTTGAACATAAGTCATCACAGATGTGTATTTCAAGCAATGCTAATCTCAAATGTATACAGAGGATAACCAATCAATATATTTTGAACATAAGTCATCACAGATGTGTATTTCAAGCAAAACCAATCAAATGTATACAGAGGATAACAGATTCAAATACAAATCTCAAACCCTAACACATCATAAATTAAAGCCAAATCCCAAACCCTAACACAAATTTCAAGCAAAATCCAAACCCAAACACTCACAATGGACTAATTTCTACAAAACATTGAAGCCAAACATAAACCCTAACATGGATCGATTTCAGGTTTACCTCAGTCGTCCTTCGTACTGCTTCAACAGACAGGTGAGAGAGGCGAGACTGAAGAGATAACAAGAGGCGAGACTAAAGAGATAAAGAGGAGAGAGAGGCGAGAGTGAATGAGAGGGATGAGGCGAGAGAGGTGAGAGGCGTGGGTCAAGAAAAGGAAGAAAAAGAAAAAGAAAAAAAAATGAATTGGGTTTCGAGCCAATTCGAGCCAACGAGATTTTGAGCCCTCAAACATTTTTGATAGTCTATAAACCATCAAAATATTCCTACATAACTACGTATAACTTTTAGTAGGTGTTTGGGGTAAATTAAAAAATGATATATATTTTTTTACTTATATACATTTATTCAGGTCATATCAATCAACATCTATCAACATCTCATCTTTACTTTTCTACACATTTTTTTTTATAAAAAGTCAAAAAATACACTTATTTAGAACATCTCAAGCCACCCTCTTAATTTCATGTAATTGTTTAAATCAAATTCAAATTAAAATTTGTATTTTTTACAATTTTAACCAAACACTTGGGCTTTGTTTGAGAAGTTGCGTTGGTATTTCGATTTTTTAGCTCAGGCTAAAATTTGAATTGACTTTTTTGATTTTTTTGACTATTATAAGAAAAAAAAATGAAATGATTATAATTTGGATGTGACATTTTGTCTTATTGACTTTTCAAAGCTATGTTTGGCATAAATATTTTGGGCTAAAATATCCACAAAAAACAAAATAAGCTAAAAAGCCAATAAAATAAAATGTCATATTCAAATCATAATCATTTCATTTTTTCTCTCACAAAAGTAAAAAAAAAAAACCAAAAAAATCCATCCAAACGAGACTTTTTAGCCACGGGCTAAAATAGTTAAAAAGCCAAAAAGTTAAAAAGCGAACCTATATCCCAAATGAAGACTAACTTATTTTATCTTTTTGTAACTAGTTTAGTCAAAAAAACCAACCCAACCCAATTACCAAACGACACCTTATTCAGCAGAAAAAAAAAAACCCCCACATAAACTTCCTATAACTTCTTGTATCATGTATTTGTCCACATCAAATTCAAATAAAAATTTGTAACTTATAATTTTACAGACCACTTCTTAAGTATACATACACCTAGCATATACATACATACATACATAAACATATGGGTATGCCAACCAAGAAATTCAGAAACTACATAATAATAGAATCCAGCATTTGCTCTGTTTGGTCCAGCTTTGGAAGTTATTTATTTATTTATTCTTTTTATTAACTCTGTCAGAGTGTTTGATTAATAGCTGGAAAAAAAAAATTTATTATCAAAAAGCCAAGAAAGTGATATTTTACTTTTTATACTATTATTTGTTATCCTTGAAAACCTACACAAAACAAGTTCATTATGTTCTATTCACCCAAAAAAAAAAGTTCATTATGTTCGATAGATGCCAATAAATTCAAGATCTCGCCTGAAGGAGTGTTTTTAACTTCATTTTCTCATTATCATATTTTAAATCAAGAAAAATTACACTAAACAAGTCCATTATATATAGACACAAAAAAAGTTACAATAAATAAGTCCATTATATTGAGAAAATTTTGAATATATGCCAATATATTACAATGATGCCCCCAAAGCATAACACAAGAAAAACAAACATTTTTATTCCATAAAAACAATTGTATCCGGAAATGTAATTTTTATTATGCTATTGTTAAAATGTAACACGATGAACACAAAAAAATACACTTTATTAATGTATTATCTATCATGCCATTATGATAAAAATATTGTGCCAAATTTAACCCAATGAATGTTTGATCATTAACTTATTTAAATTTATTGTACTATCCTAAAAATGTCATGTCATGCAACTTTTCTAATAAATTAATATAAAATTAAATTTTTTTTTAAAAAAAAATACTAACCATCATATTAAATAATTTTAATTCAAAATGCAACTTTAAAGCATTCTATCAAAAAATATAAACCATTAAATTTGATTTAATTTATTTAATGTAAGTTCAAATTAAGCAAATGAATTAAAGTTTTTTAATATATTAATTATTTTATTAAAAAATCTCAAATAAAAGTTTAATTTAAAAACACTACAAACCCACACAATTAGGTACACAATTATATCTTATGGTAAAAATTATGAAAATACAAAACTTTCATAATTTTAACATAATTACATTAGGTGTCCTTAAAGTTTTAATTCACAAGACACCTAGCTCCATTTTCATGTATAATTTGTTAGTCATATAGATAAATAAATATATATATATATATTGTATTTTCATACTATCTACATTAATTTTGGTCTATTTAATCTTACTAAAAGAGAGCTTAGTATAATTATTTTAAAACTGTGGAGCTGCTTGTATTTTCTTTAAATTTCATAGATGGGCCAGTATAATTTATCCTTAAAATATGATATTTTGACACTATATTTTGTTAAAATATGACATTAACACAATTGCAATGGTACAATCTACTAAAAATGATCTTAATAGGTACTCAATTGAGAAATGATATTCACACTCATTGTATTCTTTTCGATTCTTTTTTTGTCATAATGTCTCTCCAAAGACAAATGTGAGGCTAAAAAAATAATATGAATATCATACCTTTCAAGATTTCATGAAAGTTTTTATATAGTTTAATCTCGTTTTTCTAAGATATAAATAAATATAATCATCAATAGAGAGGATTGTTATATATTATCAGCATATGTCACGAAAATGCTTCATCTCCAATGTAGGATTGTTATATATCCAAGTGACAAATACCATTTTCCCTAGTGAATTCTAGATTCACAATTTTTAATCCACTCTCACAGTAAGGAAATTTTTTGTGCAAAAAAAAAAAAAAAAAGTAGCGACTGTAACTATGTATGCTCATCCTTTCTGAGTTATTGTAATGAAATGCTTCTTTAAACCTTAATGTTGTGTTTGGTTGAGGGATTTAGAAAGGGAAATAGAAAAGGTGGGTGAAATGTGAATAAATAATACCTATATTTCACCTAGTTTCACACACCTTTTTCCTTTTCCTTTCCAAATCCCTTCCTAAATCTCCCAACCAAACACAACATAAATATCAAGGAAGCAACACACCAATTGCATTAATTAAAATCCAAATTTATAAATACATATAAATTGTGAGAAGCACAGAAAACACTTACCTTCAATTTCATGAACTTGAAACTCAGATACATCAACCGGCCAATATGTTCCAACAACCAGTTTCACTACTTTTGACTCCACTATTTTCCCTTTTTGCTTTTGTACAACATGTTGCTTTCACAAAAATAGTAAATGATCAAAGTGTGAAAGGGAATGTTGTTTTTATTGGACCATTGTTGACAAACCCCCCAAATATATCCTGTAACAGGCACATATCAACCATTAAAAGTAGCAACTCAGTGCATGACACTTCTACTACAGTAATCCTAGGGAGGACAAACACACACCTCCCTCCCATATCTAAAGAGATTGTTTTCATTACTCAAACTCGCACCACTAAGAATGCCAACATTAAACCTTGCTGTTGGGCCAAACAACCCTTTTGCAAGTTGCAACAATTACTATGCAAATACTTGTAAGGAAAATTGCAAGGCCCAAAAAAGAAAATTACTTGTGAGGGCTATATCAACTCCTTCCTTAAAAGACTTATGTTGGGTTCATTAAAATGAGTTGGAATGAAATGATCAATCCATCAAAATATTCATTCTTATGTTTGGCTCACTAAAAAAGTTATGAAAAATACATTACAAATAGAATTATCATTGTAATGGAATAATTGTTCCACAAAAAGGATAAGGAATTAAGATTCCATTCAAATCTACATTCATTCTAGTGAACCAAACACTACATAATTCATTCACATGTGGAAAAATACCACATAAAAAATTTGTAATTATATATGCACGCCAGTAGCTCAATGCTGTAACTTTCAAATTGCATCCACAATTCATGAGGTTAAAAAAAGGGGGACAAAAGTCACAGCAAGCCTAAGCAATAACAGCAGCAAACAATGCTAGCAGTAAGGTATGACACACCAGAATCAGTACAACAATAAAGCAGCACACCAGAATTACTTCCATTTCTTGAACTTCAGGAACCTTCCCCCCGTGGTGCTTTTCATGCTTCGTGTGTTTACTGAACTTCCCGTGCTTAAACTTCCCATGGTGATGGCCATGTGACAGCTGGTGACTGCCATGTGACGAATGATGACCGCCATGCGATAGATGATGAGCTCCATAAGCAGCAGCCGCACCCCCAGCTATCAGTCTTCCCATACTAGGTCCTCCATGCCCTGTATATATTATTAATGAAAGAAATAACGTGTTATCAATAAAGGGAAAAAATAATAATAATAAAAGATTAGTGTTACAATTGAACAAACAGCATTGCAAGCCTGCCTGCTCAGGGTGTTAAGGATCATCATTACCTTGCATAAATGTAATTTAACAGGTACATTGTTATACTATATTGCAAACTAGTAGATGTAAATAGGAGGTAGAGAAATGAAAAATTAACAACAAAAAAAAAAAAGAAGGTTCAATAATCAGACATGAACCATTGGATTTTAATCTCTTCCCCCTCTCCGTGAGAGAGAATTAGAGACAAACTGTCAAAATTTTACAATATTTCAAATTAGGACATCCTAGTTTACTCCTCTTTAACGCCGGGATGAAAGGGAATTCTACAACTATTTTGGTGCCAAAAATCATTAAATAAACTCCTGCTTCTGATTCCTCCTAGGTGATAATATGCACTTGATAGTTCTTGCCGGTATGAGTTTCTTGTTCTGGATTCAAAAACACTGAATAGACGCACAAACTAATCAAAGGTTCTAGGAGTTCCACATTTCTTCTGCCATGTGCCAACCACTGTTGTTCAAACATTTCTTGCAGGTGGTGATACCATTCACCTTTAACACACCTAATGACTCAAGTTTTTTTAACTGCAAATTTTTTATAGAAATAAAATCCCCGATATTTGAAAGCCCTGAGTAGGTCATAACATTTGGATGAAAGCCCTTTGTAGGCTGCCCATAATGGACCTATTTCCACCATTATTCTGTTTAAATGACACAATCAAAAAACTAAAAACAACACATACTATGCCCACTTCCCTCATCACAACAGAAAAGCAAAAAAGGCTCATAAGGTCCTTCACAATCAAATGAAAAACATATCCTAATATTGGAGGACAACTCAAATAACAACACATGGCAAGAAAAGCCAATAATAAGGTACCTCCTGAGTGAAGTAATGACAATCTATTGGCAAACATAACCTAAAAACAGATAAGAATGTCATATTTACGTCAAAGTACAAAGAAATGCATCAAACATGCCTGAATGATGTGAAGCCGATGGACTAGGATAACCTATTTGTGGATATCCACCTGGGGAAGGATATGTTGATGGTGGGTATCCACCAGGGGAGGATATCTAGCTGGTGGGTAGCCACCTGGGGGAGGATATCCGGCTGGAGGCTGACCATTAGGAGGAGGGTATCCAGCCTGTGGGTAACCTTGAGTGGGATATGCCTGAGGAGGGTATCCTTGGGGAGGGTATGCCCCCAGGAGGCGGAGGAGGGTAGTGTCCACCAGGATAACCAGAATGATTGTGATTCCCACCACTCACTCTCTTCAACTTGAAATTGATGAACTGATAATGTAAATACAGGACATTAGAACGTACAAGAATTTTTTGGAGTGAAAAGAAAAAATGCACCAAATGTGTATCATAAATGTACTAGCATTGGCTTTCTTTGGATAATCATAGAACTCCGTCACAATTTTCTCTGCTTAAAAATAAATTCCCCGTAGTCAAGAACTAAGTTCCTCTGGATTTTAGAAGTAATAAGCTACATAGTTGTCAAATCGAAATTCGAATCGTGAATCGAAATGACCTCGTACCAAATAGTGAATCGAATCGTGAATTATAAAGATTCAGTCACTTTTTCTAATTTGCTTAGAAAAATATATTTATACACTTAAATGTTAAATATATCTTATCAATATGAAATATTTAGACTTAAAATGCAAATATTGTTTTGAATAATAATCACGTAATTTAATAGGTAAAAAGTTAACAAAGATGCCTATATAAGATTACCATCTTACCTGTTTTCCTCTTTTAAATATTTCTTATCAACCATTCTTAACAAAGATAGTAACCGACAAAATATCAATTTTCAAAGTAATAATAACTAACAACAATATTGATATTTGGACAATAAGCATACATATTTTTCCAAGTAATAGTGACCAAATAAGAATAAAGAATTATTTAGGATCTTTTATTTTAAGCCTAAAACATTTTAAAAAGTATAATTGACCTCACCCATGTAATATTCAACTATATTCAATTTAATAAAATAGCAATATATAATTCATGATATAAGTTACTTTAATCTTAAACATCTTTAGAAGATATATTATGAATTTTTAAATAAAAAAAGAAAAATGAGAAGAAAGATTAAAATATGTTGGATCTGACTGAATCTGATTGAAACCTATTAAAAACTCCATGTTCACTAAAATAACAACAAATCATAACCCGTAAAGGTAGCCCAGTTGGTTGAGGGCAAGGGACTAGGGACCTAGGACTCAGGGCCCCAAGATTAGTCGAGGTGCAACACTTCAAAGGGGTGCTGGCCTGGACACTCTGTTATCAAAAAAAAAAAAAAAAAAAAACAACAAATCATGTATATATTGGTTATTTTGGTATTAAACGATATTAGAAGTTATGTTATATTATTTTCACTAAAAAGATGGAGAGAAAAAAATAATCGAAAATATGTCAGACACAATAATTTCAAGAATTGTATGAATCGTATGAATCGTAAAATGTGAATCGATTGCGAATCGTGCGATTCATTAGAAGTTCACTTCCAAAATAGATTCACCTATAGATTCGTGTTGATTTTATAAAAATTGCGAATCAAATCGTGAATCGAATCGCGAATCATAAGATTCTGATAACAGAGATAATAGTTAAAGCAAATTCAAAAAATCTAAAATTTTGGAAAAACACAATGGTCAATAGATAGGGCTAATAACCTCCCGAAATCAAGAAAATTCACAATGACCAACAATTCTTGCGCATCACTCTGAATTTCAAATGCATAAAACAAATTAACCAAAGTGGATCCGAATTAGACATTGAGATATACTTCTAATCAAATTGCAAGTAAAGGCTCAGAGTAACAATTGAAAAAAGTTGAAAAACTGTTCGGTATCCTTTTAAGGACAGATTTAACTTCTAAAAGTGAGAATGAAATAGAACACATGCTTGGGGGGGTTAAGAAAGCAGTGTTGTCAAAAGGTCAATTGTCTTTAACTTTTCAAAACAACATATATGAGCTAATGAAGATTGTGATCAATGAACACCCTAAAAAACAAAAAAAAAAAGTCATGAATGCCTAATATATACATACACGCAATATATATATATATATATATTGTTGAACAATTTTGAAAAAACATAACCATGATGAAACAAACTAAAATTAACAACAAGAACAAGCAATAAATGAAAAATCCTCCATAGAAACAAAAAAGAAGATCAGGATTTTACTTTTTACATTACTACTAGATTCAAAGCAACAAGAACAAGCAAAGACGAGAAAATCAAGAATCCTAGATACAAACAACAAAGAAGATCAAGATTCGCCTTTTCATTACTACTAAATCATCAAGTTATTTTATATGGAGAGAGAGAGAGAGAGAGAGAGAGAGAGGTGTGCGCATGATTGAGGTTGATAGTTGTTGCCAACATAAGAGAGAGAGAGCTCACCGGATTGAATGGGGTTTTGAAATATACGGATTTAGAGGGAAAATATGGACAGACTAGGGGTGAGCAGCGGATATACCGATCCGCCAAAACCGACCGAACCGAACGGATCCGCCACATTTTGGACGGATGCGTGATGACGAGCGGACGGTTGCGGATTGATTTTCTCAAATCCGCCAATTTGGCGGACGGATGGCGGATTTGAGATTTTTTGGCCGCAACCGAACCGCCAAACCGCCAAATCACGAGCACCCCTAGTAATTTATAAGACTTTGTATTTTCAATTTGTTTAAATATTATGTTTGTGTTTTCAATTGAAAAAGAGTTTAAATATTTAGTTGAAAAAAAGTTTTCAACTAGAATATATTTTTTGAATTGAAAAAAATAAACGTATTATTCATATATATTTTTTAGTTTTTAAATGTAACTCTAAAAATAATAAATAGAAAATATGATATATGCTGGTTGGTTTTTGTTTTCAAAAACATATGTAGATGTAACAATACAGAGACATTCAATCTCTACTACTGCTCTGTTCATGGTTTTGGTGGAATGAATTGTTATTATATTTTAAGAATCACAGATTGTAATATTTTATGGGGATGAATCATGCTGTGATTGTAATATGTGGATGAGGCATGCAGTGATCGTAATATTCTAAAGTTTCAAACTTTTTTTCTTTGGATAAGGCATACAATGATTGTAATACTTTTTTAAGTCATTGACTGTAATACTTTCTTTTTCTTTTTTTTCTTTTTTTTTTTATTTGAGGAAGTGCACAAGTTGAATTATGTTGAAAATTTATAAAATTTTAAACCGCCAAACCGATTCGCATCCATCTGCCAAACCGCCAATCCGCTCAATCCACATCCGCCGGATTGGCGGACGGATGCGGATTGATTTTCTTCAATCCGCCAATCTGGCGGACGGATGACGGATTGGAGGTTCCGTGGCCGCAACCGACCCGCGCCCACCCCTAGGACAGAGAATCCAGATCCCAAATGAATATCGTAGAAGGAGACGTGTGGGAAAGTGATGGAAAAAGAGGGGAGATCTATTTTTACTATTTATTTCCTTCGGTTTGATTTTCAAATTATTTTCAAAAGAGAAAAAAAAAATTTAAATTTAAATTAATTTGATAATAAAATTAAAAATATTTATCATTATGGTATAATAGTTGGAAAAGTTCACATTTATAGAGTAACTAGTGTATATTCGTGCCTGAATACACGATGTAAATAATGTAAATAATATTGGGATTAGAATGTAATTGTAATTCAAACACTATTTAAATTTATTTTTTTAAATCTTGAAGTTCTCACAAATTTATTCTAAAATTTTGAAATTCTCACAAAACTCCTCACAAAAATTCAGTTTTGCTTATATAATATATAGCTAAATAGATAGATGTGCCTAGCATACATATAATTTCCATAGGCATACATACAATACTGCTTTTGCTTATATAATTATATGGAAATTGTATGTGAGAGGGTAATTTATGTATAAATTGGGCCGAGCTGCGTAATGGACCGTTGTGGGCCACAGTGAGAAGAGCGGAGTAAAAAGGGCCTTGGCGTTAGCCTGGTCCCCAAAAAAGGCCTTGTTGTTAGCCCGGTCCAAGAGAATGTTACAGATAACCCGGTTACCACACTCAGAGTTAGCCTGGTTGTGGCTTGTTGCGGTTAGCTCGGTCAGAACCTTGCTATTTCTTAGCTCGGTCTAAACACATCATGGTTTGTACAGAAGAAACCAAGGTACATGCAGTAAAAGGAAGAACCGAGCTAGGTGGAGTTCGGTCTACTTTGCGGCTTAGCATAGCCATGCTTACCTCGGTAATATTGGGATCCGGCCATAGTAAAACCATCTCACTTGGTTTAAGCAGTGAGGGAGGTGTTGAAGGATAAGCATTATCTTTCAGGAATATGATTCCTAGGAGGACTTTACATGGATGAGTAAGAGTCTTACTAGGATTGTGCCACGCGGAACCTATAAAAGCTCATAACATTACCTATGGAGAGGTAACACAACTTTAATTCTCGAATACACAGAGCTTTTGTCTATTCGTCTATTTTGCTGACTTAGGCATCGGAGAGGTATCCGGCACACACCCGCCGGCTAGCTCACGTTTGTGTTTTTAGGGAGTAAAGCGACGACGTTTGGAGGAGAGCGGACTTGATCAACAGGATTATACAATAAGGTTTATTTCTTTCCCGTACAATTGGCGCCATCTGTGGGAATACCAGACAAAGAACAAAACCTCTTGATCAAGTTTCCCTCGGTAGTTGAATGGCGCACAACGAAGATTTGCCGCAGTCCGCCATCGACGGACAAACCCTAGAGGGGGGTGGGAGGCGCGAATGATTGCCCTCTATCCCTCCCATGGCGGACTTAGAGCTCCAGCGACAGAATCCTCGGAGGAATACAAGGGGGAGGCGAAACAACAGCCCTCGTCGCTCTCGCTCACAAAGTCTTGAAAGGCAAAGGCGAAGAATCGACCCTCAAGCTTTGGAGGATCGCGTAAAAGAGCAAGATAAACTGATAAAGAAGATGGCGGCGGATATGGAGGCCATAAAGCGCCAGATCAAGGGAAAAGGGGTGGCGACAGGAGAGGGGCGCAAAGGCAATACGCCTCCTTGCCACTCAAAAGATCGTGGTAGGCATACCACGCCATCACAAGCAGAGAGTAGAAGCCTCAGGATAGGCGACACTCAATCAAGGACTTCCAGAACTCATTACTCCAGGTCTGAGAGAACGAAATCATTGAGGTCTTACACTGAGGGAAGTACCTATCGGCCCTCACATACGCACCAGACATCATCCAGGCAAACGGAGTTGCCTAGATCGTCCGACTTACAGACTGTGCTTGAAGAAAGGGCACGACAGAAGGAGAATGCCAGGGCACGCGACCTGTACAAAGTTTCCCCCCTTCAGCGGTTGGCTCCTCGGACGCATGGAAGCGTTGAGGTTGGAATGCCAATACCGCACCTTGCTTACGAACCAACAGATAAAGCGTTGGCAAGACTACATAGCTCACCGTTCGTTCCGGCGATTGAGAACGCACCATTACCCTCAGGCTTCATCTAGCCTAAATTTACCACGTACGAAGGGAAGACAGACCCTTACATGCACCTAAGCCACTTTCGCCAGGTTATGGCAGTATACCGATGGAATGAAGCTTTGATGTGCATCCTATTCCCATCCAGCCTTGGCGACCTAGGTTTAACCTGGTTCGAAAGGCTACCAGAAGGCAGCATAGCCTCCTGGGCGCAATTAGCGGAGGCGTTCGTGACAAGATTCAGAACGAACACCAAGACGCTAGTGGAGATTGATCAGCTACTCTCCATTGACATGGGCGACAAAGAAACATTGAGGTCCTACGACAGTCGCTACTGGGAGACGTTCAACCAGATAGGGGACTGCCCTACCAATCTCGCCATCGCACAATACAAAAGGGGACTTCCAATCGGAAACAGATTGAGGGATTCGATTATAATGACTCCACCCCTCACGATGGAAGCATTGATGGAGAGAGTGCACCAACATATTCGGGTGGAGGAGGATGGCGCCCGTGCCAAGGCAAAATCTAGTGCGACAGCAACACTAGAAAAGAAGACTACGACAAACGTCAATACGGTAGAACGTCAAAGCAAGAATGGACGAGGCAAGCGAGACAACGAAGAGGACCGAGATAAAAGATGGTTGAGAGTCCGCACTGCCATTACCACGGTATTCAAGAAACCAATCTACTGGATTCTCAGTGAGATATGCAATGAACCTTTCGTCAAATGGCCAACTAAATTGGGGGAAGCTCAGAAGGACTATGACGAAAGATCTCAGTGCACCTTCCATAAGGAAAAGGGGCACTGCGCTAAAAATTGCGCACCGTTGAGGTAGCATCTGGAGGAGTTAGTGGCAGCTGGTCACCTAGACCGGCACATAGAAGGAAGGATTCAACCAGCCCCCCAAAACCACGACCACCCAGACGGAACACCGAACGACGCCCCACCTCAAGGCGTAATAAACGTAATACATGGGGTATTCGAGCCTGAGCGAGTATGTGAGCTCAGGGGCATGATAAAGAAGGCTGAGCATTTAAGGGAGGTATTAAGTGCGCAGCCCATCATTAAAAAGGGAAAAACAGAGGCCACAAATGTCATGTCTTTTTCAGATAAAGACTTTGAAAAGATATATTGCCCTCACAACGATGCACTGGTCGTCACTCTTCGCATCAAGGATTACGACGTTAAGCGAATTTTGATTGACCAAGGAAGCTCATGTGAGATAATGTACTACGAAACTTTCAAACAATTGAAATTGAAGGACAAGGACTTGGCACCCACCGTATCTCCCCTGATCAGGTTCAACTCAATGCCAGAGTGGCCAGTCGGCAAGATAATCCTCCCAGTCAGAGCAGGAAGCATGACTAAACAAGTGAAATTTTGGGTATTGAAAGTACCCTCCACTTACAACATAATCTTGGGAAGGACATGGCTGCACGCCATGAGAGCGGTAGCGTCAACCTACCATCAAGTAATGCAGTTCCCCAACGAAGCCGGAGTAATTGAAGAGGTCTATGGAGATCAAATTATGTCCAAACAATGCTTCGTCACAGTAAATGGCAGCCGAGCTGCCAAGGGGTTTGTTCAAATGGTGGAAGAGCCCGAAAATAATGAATTATTTGCGGATGATGGCAAAGCCGTTGAACAAAAGGAAGTGGAAGACTTGGTACAGGTAAGAATAGATGAAAAGAACCCGGATAAGTTCTTTTTGCTTGGCTCATCTATGTCCAGCACTGAGAGAATAGAGGTCATGGAATTCTTGACCTCTAACATCGAAGTGTTTGCCTGGACGCCGTATGACATGCCTGGCATTGACCCAGGCTTCATCTGTCACCAATTGAATGTCCACCTAACTGCCAGACCAATTATACAGCGTACTCGTAGATCGGCACTCCACCATGCCGAGATAGTGGCGGAAGAAGTAGAAAACCTGCTAGAAGCAGGAGCTATCAGAGAGGTGCACTACCCTAGATGGATCTCCAACACAGTAGTAG